AAACGTATCCAAGTTGTTTCGCAAACACGGTTCTAAATGCGTCTTGAACGGCGGTATTCAGACAATGGAAGACGGGCCCGTGACCAAGGAAACCTCCACCACACTCCGCCCTGTATTCCTCATTTGGTGCGTGGCCATGGAGCCCGTACATCATAGGCTGAGAACGACCAGGGACTATGACTCTGAATTCATCAAACCCCTCAACACCTCGGTGGGCTAGGTACTCGCAAAGATCTCGCTCGGCCTGGCCAGCATTCTTACAGCGCCCCATGCATAAATGCCGGAACATGAGGGCGTGTATCATCTCATGAAGGATTGTATTGAAGAGCATACCAGTAACATAGTCGGCATTGAAGCGTTCACCCCTCTCACGAGCGGTACACTGGATGCTTTCAGTAGCACCATCTCTAAAGCTGAGAGTGCACGGATGGACTTTGATAGTAATCTTGCCAGAGTCGTCGTCCATATTAGTAACTCCAAGGTCGTTATCCGCGTCCAAGTTCCTCCACTTATACTCCACATTATCCAGCACTCCATTGAAGAAGATCTTCGAGAGGGGTATCGTAAGCTTCTTTAAGTCAGGATAGTCCCGAATTTTCCTCCTGGAAACTGCCTTCCGAAGCCTGTACAAGTAAACAGCGAAATCATCCATAGCGACTTTCTGATACCGATCAAAGCCGCCGTTGCTAGAGCGCCTCTTGAGCTCGGCAAGATGGTCTTCCATGACAGGAACAATGCCCCGAGTGGTGCAGCCGTATTTGGGGGAGTCCTTCCAGCGACAAGGCTGCCCTGATGATGTCGTCCCCAAACGATAGTGAGGAACAAGCTGCTTGTGGATGTCTGGCGTACAACTCGGACAGATACAGTGAGTGACTAGCCCCAATTCTGACTGCATGTTTTGAGGGAGTACGCGAAGATAGCATGACGGGAACTTGGAATAGACGGGGATAACGTGGGCCTGGCTTTGGGCTGGACGCGGCATGGTTGCAGTCGTCGCTTGGAACTGATGACGATGAGACAGTGGGGAGAATTGCGCTTCTACCTTAAATACTCCCATACCCAAATCATTGTCTTGACTTGTTGTGGTTTCATGGTGATTTTAAGGAATAGAACGTTGTATCTAGACATTGTGCAAGTGCACTATACAACAGGAGTAACAATTGTGCAGCGGATTTGAAGATTCCTGAATATCAGCGATTGGACCTCTCTTCCATGATATGGTGCACCCATGGACACGGGATATACAGGTGGCTCGTCAGGAAATAGGACGCAGTGGAGAACGATATGGAGATTTGGACTGAACAGCTGCTGTTCACAACGTCCAACTGACATAAGAAGTGCGTAATCCTCGTGAGGTTTTGGGAGTCACCGAATTGATTTGTATCTTCACAAAATAGCAAAATGATGGATTGAAGAGCAAACAGAGAGCATGGTGTGGAACAGTCATTCTGCAAAACGAGTTCTATTAGCAAGAGACGGCAGCGGCGAAGTCAACGAACTCTTTGAACATTGTTTGACTTGCTGGACCGATGCTTTTGAGTAACAGCAGAACCCAGATGTCTTGGTAGACATCTTATTGTTCCCAGGCCACCATTGAATTTCAAAAGGCTGGTCAATATGTTTGTGCAAGGATTGCATACATGAAGCTTCTGTTGTAACGTGGGGATGTAAAAGAGAACATGCAAATTAAGAGTAGGTGTGGGGGAATAGAGGGCACAAGTGTTGCTTGACGCTTGACTTGAAAATAAATGTATGTCTAGGGAACTTGCTTTTAGTCGGGCACACGACCGCTGACCTGGTCGTTTAGGCCTGCCTGCATACTCGTATGGCCACTTGTTGCCTTCAGATGTGCTGGCGTTTCTTTTTGTGGTGACCTGGATAATCAGCAAAGGGAGTGGTAGTGGCTGATACTCTTGCGGCTCAGTAATTCCAGGGGTATTACTAAGCTGCAGGAGTTCACAAGGACGGACGCGCGCAGAAAGCCATTACACACGGTTCCGATTTGTCTTCGATTGGCACATCAACTCCAGCGGTCCGCTTGGTGCCCATTGAAGCCGCAGAGCCGGTATGGAGATGCCGTTGGTTGAGACATCTGGGCACTGCTGCTATGATGCCACATAGACCCCATTTTGACGCAGGAGGCGCTTTGCTCGGCGCTGCGCGTCTGCCTTGTGGTTCTTGGGCACAGCACCAGTCTGACCAACCGTTTGTTTTCCTGGGGCTTCGGGGTATTCTGAACAGCGACTCGCGGAGTCAATGGTCCGCTTTCTGACTGTGGCCTTTTTTTTTTTCAAACGCTCTCCAAAATTCGCCGTCGTCCGCATCGGGTTAGCGGCGAACGAAGTCACCATTCCCAGCCGGGAGGGCGGCGACTGAGGTAAAAGGGAGCTTGTGTGAGTAGCGAAAGGGCCCCCTCAGAGCTCCGTCATGTCTGCAGCTTCCCGGCGACCATATCATAAGGCCCAGGACGGCCGGGTATTTGCCGACCAGCATTCGAGCGCGATTTACGCCGCTGCAGCGGTCTGCATCTGCGGAAGCGATGCCGTGGTGCAGGCGGAAGAGTGAGCTCGCTGCTGCTGGACGCTTTCAGCCCGCCCGAGGGAAGATAAAGGTGCACAATTTTAGAGAGGGCGAATGGCGCGGCTGCATTGTCTGCCCTGCAATATAACGGGCCACATGGTTTCATGTGAGGAATGCCTGGCTGTTTACGTAGCGACAGCCAGGTCGTCGAGGGCGTGTCAGAGAGGGCGACAGGCGTCTGCTGCAGCCCCTCGACGACGGCGAGAGAACTTCACGGCGCACCACCACCGCGCAGCGGAGCCCGGGCAGCAGAAGCGCGGGCGGAGGCAGTGTGTTCCAGGGCTTGCAGCGGACTGTCCGGACCAGCAGAGGCCAGGGCGTGGTCGAAGGGGGCGCGTTCGCTGCGGGGGGTCCACGGGCTAACAAAGAGCTGCGACCAAAACAAGCAGGCACGTGACTTGACTGGCTGTCAGATATGGGAGGCTCGCGGTCCCCGCCCATTTTGCTGGTGAGCCGTTTCTCTCCTCACAGCTCCCTCACAACAGCTCTCCACTACAGCTTTTGCCTACACAGCGACTTTTTGGTGAGTCTCGCTTGCGCTCTCACATACACCATTGCGCCCGCCCACCATAAACATGCCTGCACCTTTTTTCTCACGCGTTTCTGCGCATTTTCACGCGCCATAACCCTTTGCGACTCTGTTTTCGTCATCTTGAGAGCGCCATCACGTCGTGTTTTTCATGTTCATCGCCGTCGCCGATGCTCCATACCAGCGCATACTGACCCATACCCAGACCTCAGTCGCAACCACATCCATTTCGCAAATCTAGCTTCTTCTGTAAGTGCTGCCCTCTTCTTGTTAGCCATGCCCGCGCATTCTCGCCCTGCATCGTGTGTTTTGCGACCGGAAAGACTCGACGCGCCAGGCCCAGGCGCTGCTGCTGGGGACACCGCATGTCACCCACGTACGCCCACGGCCTGGCTGCTTTGACTTTGGCCGTCGCACCTATTCACTCACCGCTGCCTACTGTGCCGCTCTTGGTGTTCCTCCACTCCTTCTGCCTCGTACTCTGTCCTCTGCACATGCACTTGTGCACAACCCTCACCCACTACCCCAAACAAACAACTAACAGTGCACTCAAGAAAATCTTCAAACGCAACCATGCCTAAGGAGAAGACGACCCGTGGCAAGGCCAAGGCCAAGGCTGATTCCGGCAAGAAGAAGAAGGGTATGTCGTTGACATTCTCCTCTCAAGCAACCAGTCCTAACATGGACAGACCCCAATGCCCCTAAGCGCGGCCTGTCTGCGTACATGTTCTTCGCCAACGACCAGCGCGACAAGGTCCGTGAGGACAACCCCGGCATCAAGTTTGGTAAGTCACCTGATGTCCTGCAATGCTAAGAAGAGACCCTCTAATATCGCCCAGGCGAGGTTGGCAAGCTTCTCGGTGAGAAGTGGAAGGCTCTGACTGTCGACCAACGCAAGCCCTATGAGAAGAAGGCTGCCGAGGACAAGAAGCGGTACGAGACCGAGAAGGCCAAATATGCTGTAAGTTTCTTCACGACCCACATTCTCATTGTATCTGCTGACGTAATCTACAGGAGGCTCCTGAAGAAGAGGAGGAGGAAGAGTCCGAGTAAGCACATCGTGACTACTTCTCGACTCGTTGTGTAACTCTCAACCTTGTTCGATATTCTCTTCTAAGCAAGTCGGATCTGCAGTCGTGGTGTCAAATCGGGGTTGGTTGGGTTATTCACGGGCAATCGGGTCTCTTTTTCCATCCATGTCTTTTTCTTTTGCTCTTTAGCTTCCCCCAACTTCTCAATCTGAGTGAGATTCTCACGAGGCTATCGCACATGTGGGTAACATCTCATCTCACCTGGACTGATGATGTTCGTTGGGCGTCCATGATGGTTCTTTACGCAAGGACGCTGGAAAAGACACCACGAGGCTCATGATCGGATGTACACTATTATCGGCGGCTATGAAAAACTTTGTGTGTCTTAGAGGGACCATGATCCTGAGGACCTCCGGCTTGAACTGTCTTTGCAACCCGTGGTGTATCTGTGGTGATACATACCTGAGTACTCATTGCAACATGTGCCTGCGTAGCACTGCTCATGGTCGCCGTATATTGGATCCCAGTGCCAGTCTCACTGCAATGCTCTCGTGTTACCTTCATAGCCTCTCGGTCTACCACGTTTACTCCCATCAAATATACTCATCAACCATCCCGATCAAACAACCAAAAGACTGATCATACGCTCCTGCTTCCTCCCATTCAGGCACCCCGATCCTCACCGATTCCCTCATTTCAAACGGGAACTCGCATCCACGCACAAACGCAGCTTCCCGAATAACCCCTGTTGTCTCCTCTTGCTATTTCCGTTTTTGGACCTGTATGAACAGCGTAGGTATGGGATTTAGTGACCCATATATGTATGTTTGGGAATGAAGAGAGTATCCAGAGTAACGGAAGCACTCGTGGTGCAGTGGTTAGCATACCACCTTCCCATTTGATACCATTCATTGAGTGGTTGAGGAAGAAGGTGGGGGTCGCGAGTTCGAGCCTCGCCGGGTGCAATATTTTTGGAAGGATTGTTTTTGTTGGTGTGGTGGTGTATGGTGTCCGCCTAGGCAGGTTTGGGTCTTGAGGTTTTGAGTTTTTAGTCACGAGCAGGACGTCAAGAGGAGGGGGGTTTGGTTTTGGAATCTGAGATCCTGTGGGAAATCAGAATGTAAATTGGATATCCCTTTATTTTGAAAGAAGGAAAACACCCAGATGGTGGTTTAGGACGCGGGAGCGCAGAGGTTGATGTGCACCTGGTGGACTATGATCTGGTGTGGGTGTCCCATCCTCAATGCTCAAAAGCACGCGACATCCTTCAAAGAATCGATCAAGCCGTCTCCGAGAACCTAGTTCCTTACCACTTGTCGTGCAAAATGAATCTCCCAATACTCATTTGCCTAGACTTTATTCCCGCTGCAGAACCACCATTAACCCCATTATGCCCAGCATCGCTTGCTTCAGCCACGGGTACTCGCTCAGGAGGATCGTGACGTATCCGACAAATGGAATGTATCCTACTACGCTTCCGACTACGTCTTCTTTGCGGGTAAGGAAATTTTGGCCCGCGGCGTAGAGCTCTGTGTCGTCCGCGGCGTTGTTATCGCCTTTTGTGAGGAGTCGGAGAGGAGTTTTACTATTCCAATATCAGCACATATTCTGCGACTCCAAAGCCATAGCAATGCTTGATGCCATGTTCGCAATTGTTCTCCACGGACATGCGCGTCTTCCACGGCGTCCATATCCATCAACCCATGCTCACGATAATATGTTGAAGAAAGAAACTCACCCTCCACCAAATCTCCGCACAACGCGATGCACAATCGGAATATCCTTCCCCTTGACATTATACACCACCACCTCCCCAATCTTCGTATCCAGTCCCCGATTCCAGAGAAATAACAAATCGCCTCGTTGAAACGCGGGTTCCATAGATCCAGAAAGTACGACGACGATGGGGGAGGGCGAATCGGTAGCTACGGACAAGCCTTTCCAGAGCATGAAGGCGGTCGAGAGGACGAGGGCGAAGTTGAGGAGCTGTGTGGCTAGTTGCCGTGGTTGGAGGTTGCCGAGTCCGAGCATTTTGGCGGTATGCGGGGATTTGTTTTGGCGAGAGAGGGTGGGAGGGTAGCAAGAGGTGGCCTGGAGGGCGGGGAGGCCGAAGCGAGGTGCGAGGAGAGAGTGGGGTGGATGTGGTGTGGTGGTGGAGGTGGACGGTTGGAGCTTCAATTGATGCCAGATGTTCGCTGAGAAGGATGTGATTGGTCCGGGGGTGGATTAGTCATGGGTAGGTTCGCGACGGAGCTTGTTCCATCTGGTCTTTCGACCACCTCTTCAACTTGCATTAAAAACAATTTCGAAATTGACAGTGCCCATTACAAAGGCCTCGTAATCGGTCTTGCAAGCATGATGGCGATGTTGTTGAAACAGAGCAATCAATCTCGTGGACCGCTCTTCGAGCAGTCCTGGACGCGAACAATAGTCCCCGACCACTTCAGGGTACTGCTGCCGTGATCGAGGTATATGTTAGCCTCCAGTTCTACCTAAATTCATACCATTTGTTTATTCCTTCTAATATTCTCTTTTTCCAATATATCCACCTCTTCATATCGTCAACATCTTCACTTCCGTTATTTCACTTCAAGTTCTTCTCTTCTGCTACTACAATTCCTCTCCACCATGAAGATGATTATTTTGAAATTACATCTTCCGCATCTCTATACCTAGCAGAACTTCCTTAACCACAATCATTGTTCAATATCACCACTCTGATACACCTACCGTTTGAATTACATTGGGGACCAAATTTGAAGCTGCAGTGTCGACCGGAGTCTCACTTCAACATTGGTACTTCAAGAGAAATTCATATTCACCATGGCTCCAGAATCCAAGTTTCCCGAGGACACATACGTTCTCGCGTTGTTACCCCACAGACCGCCATGGCCTGGGATAGTGTGTTCACCACGGGATGTTCCAAAGGAGTACCATTCTAGGCGACCGAGCCGATTTGTCGAAGACAGGCCAGTGTTACTTCTCCACAAGATGGACATGTAAGCTTGCATTTACCCTGTCTCATAGATAGACTACACTGACACTATCAAGAGAATGGGTCCCTCTAACGGACCTCGAAGGCATGCCTGGGTGGGACTGTCCAGAAGAGCTTGGTAAACTGTACCCAGGTCTACAGCTCGCCTATGATGCTGTGAAGGATGGTTACAGGGATGAGACGGGCGCTAAAGGATGGCTGAACATCCTAGAAACCAGAAACGAATTGAATGGATTTCAGCCATCAAAACCCAGACCGACGTGTGATTCGGAGTACGGCTCTGACTTGAAAATAACTTATGAAGATCTCCAAGACCTCGAAAAGGCAATACAGGCAAGCCTCGAGGATATGAGAGAGGGGAAGAGGTCTGGATCCCCTGCCACCAATCATTCATACGAGAATGCTCCGAAAAGACAAAGGAATAGTTATAACATAAGCTCGCAAATAACAAAGTCGAAGAATGCGGCCCTTGGGGACAAACTTCCGACACCACCACGTTCATCACCAAGCTCCCCATCTAAAAACGGCACCATTAGAGGTCCTGCGGCCTCCAATAGACCATCAGGAAGAGAGTCTACATCGGCCTCACCCCTAAAACCCCTTAAAAACCCAAATCACCAGAGCGCCAAGAAAGAGTCCGACCCCCTGACCATTGAGCAGATACTCGCCAGGGAGCGAGCTGAAGAAGCAGGACCAGCAGAAGACCTCGACTTGGACGTGTACGTCGCCTCTCCCCACCCGCATACCCCCCATTCACTAACCCACCCAACCCCTAGAGCAAATAGTAACGACTTCGTCGAATTCCGCATCGGCGAGGACGACGAATCCTTCTTCATCCCCTACCGTCAAGTCCACAATCGGCCCTACTTCTCCGCCAAAAACCTCGGCTTACTAGTCCCCAAGAAAGATGGCGGATGGTTGATCGATAGAGCCTATCTGCGAACCATCAGTGCCGTCGATTTCCGACTCATCGCGCAGTTCCTCGAGAATGACACATTTGGAATAACGTATATTGAAACCGAAGAACAACGACAAGAATCCCTCACGGAATGTGTAGCCGCGTGGTCCATAGCCCAGGAACTCATCATGGACGACCTCATGGACCTGATTGTGCAGAAACTTCAGAGCATGCTCAGATTGGAATTGGAAGAAGTGCTGGCGTTTGCGAGCCAGGTTTATAGGGAGGCGGATGATGGGTTGGAGCCGAGGAGGGACATGAAGGGTTTTTTGGTGGGGAGGCTGGCGGAGGGGTTCTGGGAGCTGGTTAGAGAACATCAGACGAACTTTCTGGGGAGGTTGAGGATGTTTCCGGAATTGGAGTTGGATGTGTTCAGGAGGAGAGTGGGAGTGCTGGAGGGGGTGATAAGTGAGGGAGGAGAGGGGGGAGGAGACGATGAGGATGAGGATGAGGATGGATAGGGCTATTACTGTCAAATGTGTAGGTGTTGGGTGGGTGCTATACTTGCAACTTGGGCATTTGGTCTATGGTCGCGGATAGAATGGGCGGGATAATGGCAAGTTTCAACTTTCTTTCCTTTTAATATTTTTATGTTTCTATGCTAAAAAAAACAGTCTATTCTCGTCACGCGAATTCACAAATATCGCGTCCAGTTCCACTTGCCTACACACCATGTTTACTCTCCAACAACACCTTACCCAATATACCTAGCAAACTGACACCACTCCCCATCCCCCTTCAGCTTCTCCAAATCCTCATCCCTCAAACAAAAGCTAGCCACAATCTCTCCATCCCCTCGCTTTGGCAGCAAATACAATAGACCTTCCACAGGATAAAACTTCGGTCGTCTCACAGCCTCCGGTTTCCCCAACCCAAATTCAAAATCGTAACCATAACACTCAAACTTGGCCCAGGAACTCAGTGTAACATCTGAAGAGAGATTTAGCCGTGCGGTCATACTTACTGACGCTTTGGATTCGGATGATGGCTGGGAGAGATAGGTCGCTAGTGCGCGTGTCCGAAACGCTATATCCGAGACCTTTGGATCGACGGCGGAGCGCAGGGCGGCGGATATTTCACCCAGGGGCATGGAGAGGAGATCGGAGAGAGGGTAGGAGTGGTATGTCATGTTTTGTAGGAGCCCTGGATATGTATCGGGGACATTGAGGTAGCGACGTGCGTCCACAGCGCGGGCGAACCTGATGGTTGAGTCTGAGCGGAGGCGGGATGAGCGGGCGCGGAGAATAGATTGCCAGATGAAGGCTGTCAGGGCGTCGTCGGTGGTTATGTAGGGGGTGTTTTTGGAGAGGGAGGTTGTGGCGGTAGATTTCAGGGTGGAGAGAGAGGAAGGGGAGAAGGAGAAGTTGGACCATGTGCACGATATGGGATCGGTGGGTTCGTCGGATGTGAGTGTGCCAGCTGAGTTTGGGAGGATAAGTTGGTTTGCGAGTTCGGGACCGGGCGTGTATGAGGAATCTAGCAAGGGGATAATGGCCTGTCTGTCAGGGTTCCCGATTGTGACTTCTTCTTCTGTGAAAGCGTCTCCACGACATGCCTTGGAGAGGAGGGAGATGACGTGTGCTTGGCCGGTCATATCCATAGTGTCGTGTTGGGCGAGGATACTCAGAATCATACCACCTTGGAGCCAGTTCACTTGCACCAGCATGACTGGTGCATCTTTGGCTGTGGAATCTGATAGTGTGCTTCTTGGGCATATGACACTCTCGTCTAGCATCTTCATGGGGAAGTCTGCCTCTTTTAGCGTGGCCCATGTTGGTACTGAGAGGTCTTCTCTCAGATCCTTGATAGTGAGCCGTGGTGTCTGCTCCAGAGGTGTGATTCGGTAATCACCATTGTCGAGTTGTACGACTTGACCTGCTAGCCAGGGGAAACTGGTGGATAGACGCTCAAGGCCAGCAGTCAGGGTGGAGATGATGTTGGAGTAAATGGTGGATGATGGGACGGGGTAGCAGAATGAGATCTGGGTATAGAGTTTGTGGAGGAAGGGGATT